AAGAATGAAATTGATCGAAAAATTCAAATGATGACTTTAACTTAATTTATAAGAATGAAATTCATCAAAACATTCGAATCGATGACTTTAACTAAACTTTTACTCTTTCAAATGATTCTAGACAATTACATTTTACTATAAATAATCATCTATCATCAATTTTCAATCAATCTTCACATATACCATCTCTTGTCTACAACTCATCATTTCAACCAAATTGAGAACTTTTCAAATTCAATTCAAATCCTAACTTTAACCTACCTCAATCTTCAATTAATGGCAAACCTAATGTAAGACAACTCCAAGATAACCAATAAACATCATTTAAGATAAACATTTACTTAACCATTAAATTTTCAAATTTAATTCAAACTTTAAACAATTCATTCTCAATTAAATCATCAATTGTATTCTAATTTACCAAATACTCATTTTATTCATCTTTAATTGTATTTGTATAACTTAATTCTTCATTTTTCTAAATTCTTTTCTATCCAAAACTCAATTTCGAATTTTTCACTATTCACCTTCAACATTTCAAATTAGTCAAATTTACCCAATTCAACTTCATAAATCATTTATCCAAAATAAATAAATATCATTTAATCACTTAGAATTGCTTAATCGGCTTTTTTCCAAATGGATCTCAAAACCCTAACATTAATCTATCTCGGTTCTTCATTCTAACAACAAACCCAATATAAATCAACTCCAAAGTCATCAATAAATATATATAAACATCTCATCTAAAGATCAAATGACAAGAATTCTAATGTTTGATAATTGGCGCTTCAACCCTAATTTCAATCCTAAGCCCTTAAAGCATTTTGAGCTTTAATCTAACTAAACTTCACTTTAATCAATTTGTTTAAGGTTTTTCTAAGTTAATTGGGCAAGGTTTTAACTTAGTATTTGGAGGAGGGAATTGGGAGAGTTTGCATGAGAAAGAAAGGGGACGAAGAAAGAAAAAATTAAAGGGATAACAAGTTGTCCCGTTTTTATATGTCTGCTCGAATTTTTTTTTTTTTTACTAACTTGAATATCATTTTAGGGCGAGTTATTACATCATAACTATTGTTTTACCACATTTGGCACTAATAATATGTCTTTATCTCTAACTAGCAAAAATTCGAAGTTCCAAAGATAAGTCATTAAGGTTTTCTTTGCTCATGCTAATGTAGTCAACCTTGGACAAACAACATCGATCCCTCAAAAGACTCACATTTCTTTCATTTTTAAGATGCCGATTAGCGGGAAAAATCAAAACAAAGTAACTTCACAAAGAAATTCACCATACATGTAACCCCCGTGAAACTCTTTAACCACATCGTTATACGTACCGAAATATTTATATATGTATATACTAAGTATAAGTGTGATTTATGTGTCATTTTAATATTTTGTGATATTAACATGCTTAGTGTTTATGTGAGGATTTATGGGATGAACTTCGAGCAACCTAGCTAGTTATCATTTATTTCCTTTAACATATATTTAGAACGTACCATGAAGTAAGAAAAATTATCTAAAGGAGTGGAGAGTGTCGAAATTTGGAGAATTTCCTAAAAATTAAATGAATGTCGAAATATTGGGGAGAGAAAGGTAACTCCCATGAAAATTCTTAACCTTATAAAAATATATCCTAGAATATATATATATATATATATATATATTGGATGTGGGTGTAATTTATGTGACATTTATCTTTTATGGTATTAAAATATCTAATGTACATGGGAGTGTTTATGGGAATAAACTTTTGGGTATTTAGCAAGCCATTATTTATTTTCCCATAACACATATCTAAAAATGTCATGCAAGTGAAAGAATTACCTAACTATGGTGAAAATGCCAAATTATGGGAACCAAACTACCTTAGAAATTTGGTTAGTTTAGTTACCCTTTAGTTATCCATTTTTAGTTACTAATTAGACACCTCATCTTCCACCATGTTCTAATTAGTGACACCTAACCACCTTTGACTTCAAGCCCGCCACCTTGCTTCCATTTTCTCTCTCTCACTTTACACTTTATAACCATAAAATTTAGACAAATGTTATACTAATTAATGAGAAGAAAAAGAGGAGTATATAAGTGTGAGAAAGAGTTAGATTTAGCCATTTTAACTCACCAAAAATTGAGAAAAAACCGTAAGGAAAGAGAGAAAAACGAAAAAGAGAGAAAAAGAAAGAAATAAGAAAGGAAAAAAGGAAAAGCTAGGAAAGCTTAAATCAATATAAGTACGTTTATTTTGCATTATGTTATGCCATTAATTTCATTTATATGTGCTTAAATTAGTTGGTTGTTTAAAGTTTTCCATTATGTTGTTATGGGTTATTCATGTTAGTATTTTGTGTTTAATAGCTTGATGTGAAATTAATATTAGATTGTATATGTGATGATGAATGGTTGGTATGTTATGTATCCATGTATTATGTATGCCTAAGTATGTGTTGGTGGGTTTAGTTAAAACAAATAGGCTTGTAATAAAGTTTGGATGGACTTGAAAGAGGAAAGAATTCTTAGAGTATCCTTAAGGAGATCATTCAGCCTAGGTACTAAACTGGCCAAAGTTTGGATTGTTTTTATGTAACTAAAGATCTAGAACTTAATGGTAACTCAATTAAGTATAAATTAGTAAGTTATGAGGAAAAGAAATTGCATAGAAACAAAAGAAAAATCTCTTGCCACTTTTAGAACCCATTCGGCCTAAACCCAAAAATTTGGGATTTGAGTTCCAATCATCCAACTTGATAATTAATTATTCAAATGCACCTAAATAAGTATAAATTGAAGTGTAGAAAGGTTAGATTTCAAGAAAAATAAAAATTTCGGCTTAGATTAGGAAACATTCAGCCTAAACCCTAAGTTTTGAAAATTGAGTTCCACTCATTCAAATTGATTATTAATGGTTCAATTAGAACTCAATAAGTATAAAATGAAGTGTTGGAAGGTAAGACTTCAAGAAAAAAAATCAAAATTAGGACCTAGACCTATTAGAAGCTAAATTCGGCTATTAAGGCTAAATTTTGGGTTAGGAATAAAATCTCACTTTAAATGCGCTCAAACGCATTCCTAGGACTAAAATATAGGAATGGATTAACCCTAATGGGCGGGTCTTATATTCTTTACGTGACTCCTATGAAAAATATATAAAATCCCAAGCGTGGATTGAATTCCGAGTGTGGTGTGAAAATAAAGAGTTTAGTACCCATGATTGATGGAATGTGATAAACGAAACATCACATGCATCATGTGCATTTAGAGGTGGATTGACTTGAGAAAACAATTGAGTCGAGATATGATGAGGTTTGGTAACCGAATTGGTTTGAAATTAGATAGGTTTGATAACCTAACTGGATTAAATGGGTATTAGCAATAAAGTCGTGTGCGCGCTCTATTAATTGAATACACCGTTAAGTGATGGATAATTCCACTAACCGTGTGCTACAATGATGGATAATTCTGTTGCTAACAGTAGGTGATTCGATAATCACCGAGAGATGGGAATAGAGCGAGTTGCTAATACCTAAGGTACTCGAACTAAAATCGATGGGGGAAGGCGAGAGTCATACAAAAGCACCGCATATCATGTGCATCACCCTACTTACCGAGCTTCGGCTCACTCTGTTGTTATTTTTCATGCCATGACGGGTAAAGACGATGATAGTGCCGATAAAGAAGTCATCGGTTCCTCCCGGAAAAGGGCTCATGCGTGACACAAAAAACATAGAAATCTCTTTTGATTGTTATATAGGGTGCGGTGTCTAGTAAAGTATTAATAACACCTTAAATATTTTGTGACTTCGTAACGAGTATTTAATAAAGTTGTAAAAATTTTATTGTATATCCTTTTATGCTTAATATGTTATTATTTGTTGGCAATGTATTATGAGAATAAATTTAAGACTTTAGTCTCTAAATTCTAATGCAACTAGCCACACCTCTTAGATACTTGATAAGGGAGCTAGGAACACTACAATACACATGCACAATACCATTCTCTGTGGTTTATTATAACCTTAGGCATGTAGTCCAAGAATCCCAAATACAAAGAGTAAAGAAAGGTTTGAAAGGACAGGAGCACTCATAGTCTTTTTCTTCTTTACAATGACCACTTTGCTTTCCACTCGTTCCCCATTCATAAAGTATGCATATCTGTCTTAGTTCTATAATGTAGAATAGTCCATTTTATGGGTCTCTTTGATTGATTATACGTACTCCCATGGCTATTATTATTTTTATTTATTTTCTTTTATCTTTTATTTTTTATTTTGTGTTGGGGATGACATCAACCTTGTGACACTAGGAACATTGTATATATGATGCAGCAGCTATGATTGAGTATATATATTTGAGCTTAATCTCATTAGAATCATGAGAGAATCAAGAGAGGAAGAATCAAATTTAAGTGCGCACTTAGCATACCAAGACGCGAATTAAATTAGTAACTTGTACCATATGAAGTTCCATTTTATTGCTTAGTGCAAACTTTATGCAAAGTATGTAAGATTGATAGATAAGGATAAACAAAAGTGACATGCGATCTTGAAAATGAAGAGCTATATATTTTAATAAAGGAGATAATTCAAATGGGATTCGGTGAATTTAAGATGCTGTTTTCCAATAAGGAATGTACTAAGAAGCATAATAAAATATAGTCAGAAATGAAAGAAAGAGTGTGACTTTAACTGAATCGTGATAGGAAGTATATATACTCTGTAAAAGCTTTTTTTGTATATATATGTCTTGAGGGGTGATTGAATTTCCATTGCTATGAACTTTCCGTGTCAGATTATACTAGACTTTAAATAGAAGAACTTAGTATTTTTGAAAGAGGCCCAATATTTGGTTGTTCATAAGCTACAATTTACAAGCTATTCAAAAGTAATGAAAACTTGAATCCAGTATCTTAACGTATCCTAGAACAAACCTTAACGAAATAATTATCAGTATTTTCTCAATGCCTGATCCGTCACACAATGCACCACACATCCCAGCAAGGATGGGCATGTCAATCATTTTGCTGAAAAGGAAAAGGCACATGGTTTTTTCTGCATTTCCTTTTCATGGAGAAAGGTAGCTGCAGTTAGCACACTATGTGCACTGGCCACTACACTCATCGATGAGTGTGATGTGTGGAATCAGTCCAAACACAGTAGAGGTGCTTTTTTCTTCGTTCATTACCAATGCTTAAGGCGTTCTATTACCAATCAGTATTCAAAATTTTCTGACCACATTGATCAGCTAAAGTTTTTGTGTATAAAAAAGTTATAATCACGTTTGCAGGTTCTATAAAACAATTTAATATTGTTATCTTCTGATAAGCAAGTTTGTATTCAATATAAAACAGCTTTATATTGTTAAACATTTCACATTTTCATCTATCAGCAAGATTTGAATGGACAGTAATTTGCAAGATCTTATATAAGAAAAATGAAAATCTTATGAGGTCCGCAACCTATATGTTATATACATTCCATGTGATTTGGAGATTAGCTAATGATTTAAAACTTCAACATTACTTCTAATTCTCAGTTCTTTCCCATACTGATGATAATATTCTCATATCAATTGAAATCTGATATCTATTAAAGTTAGAAGCCATATTCCAACCTATTTATGCAGGGTATCAAATTTTAGATTAGGCCAGACTCCTTCTCCTCATAGTATATGAATATAGAATCTGCTTGAAATGATACTGGCAGTGGAATTTCATGATCATGAAATTTCTCAATTAGTAAAAGAGAGAGCCTGTATTAATTCTTAATTCCTTTAACAAATATTGGATTGGGATTCCCTTCTATTCTCATTTTCTTCTCTCCTTTATGAAGTAACAGGGTAATCATAAGCTCCAATATCAGCTATCAAGGATTTACTAACAGTCCCTAATGGAATAGAACTATGATCCTATTAAATTGTGAAAACTGATATGAATATAATCTATAGTTTAATATGTTATGGAGAGTTAGCACGGTGATCTTGCTAGTTGAGCCAAGTTTATAGGCTTGTATAAATATTTTTTAACAGTCTTAATTATCCACACTATAAATATGGACACTATCTATTGAATTTGTAGTTGATTGAAAACCTAATAAAAACTTTTAGTGTAGTCGTACAATAGGCACAATTATCGAATTACGTAAATTTTGTATTATGTAATTTTTTTTATTTTTGCTTGATTGGTTTTCTTATAACTGGTATCAAAACTCTAGGTTCGTAGGGTAAGGAGAAACGGTGGCAAAAGAAGAAAAAATCATAATTGACAAGTTCGGTGGAAAATACTTCAAATTCTAAAAGATTTAGGTTGAAGATCTCCTGTACCAGAAGAAGTTAAGCAAACCAAAATTGAAGAAGTCAAAAGAATCAAAGATGCTGATTGGAATTTTTTGGATCGCTAGATGTTGAATATTGTTTGAATATTGACCCGAAACATTGCATTTAACATCGTAAAAGAAAAAACCAAAGTACGTCTATAACCAATCAATGTAGAAGCAAGGAAGATGAACTCATGGATGCTTTTCTTGTACTTGACGTGGTTGATAAGAATGAATTTATATCAGCTAAGAAGCTGCACTAAGTACTGACTGGCCTAGGTTACAAGGAATGTAATCTTGAGGAATGTTTTCTGATGATAAAATTAAAGGAGTAGACAAAGATCAAAATGGGCTTGTAGATTTCCAAGAATTCAAATCAATGATGGCAACAGCAGGAACAGGTTTAAAACAGCAAAATGTAGCAAAAACCTTTAAAGCACGATTTATAGTTTAGTTATTGAGGACAAAACTCGAGGGTCTAGCACTAGGAGGTGACAAATTTGGGATCAGTCATTCATGTCTTCAAATTTAACTGTGATATTTCATTGGAATCCAAGTAGCTTTAGTACTATCAGCTTGTGGCTATATAAGAGTCTTTGTTCTAATAATTGTACCAATCATAGTTTTGCTGCGAGATTCTTTAGTGGAGTCAGAGGTGTACCTCTTTAGTGCATGGTGGTAGAGTACCGTACTGGAAAAAACTAGTTTTGCCAAATAAGTCAAAGCAGAAAATGAAAGATTGGAAAGCTTTGAGTATCTTTAACAGAACAATAGAACTAAAGACAAAGCACGAAAAGAAAGATGTTTTGTTGCTTTCGAAGCTACCGAACTGTAATTCAATTTGAATTAGTTTTTTTTTTCAAATTAAAAATTTTCGAATTCCAATCTTTTATTTATAACAAAAAAATAAAAAGAATTTTGTTTTCAAGTTCCATTAAGACCCAAATCATGACTATCCGTTCGAGTTTATATATTGCCAATTAATTGTTGATTAGTATATAATCAAACAATTAATTAGGTGAAAATTACTCCAATTGTCTTTATTTTATTTTTTTTAAACAAAAAAAATATCTTGTTCTCATCACTTTCATATGGGCGATCGTTCATGTTATCCTAAATTATGGTTCTAAGATGTAATAATAATGTTGATGGTGTTGCTGATAATGAGTGATGGCTATTCAAATTTCTTATTTGGTGATTGGTAGTTTCCTTGGCAAGTTGCTCCAATTTTAGCATATCCAAAATCATTTAGTCCGACAACTATATATATAGTATTCAAATCTCCTCCACTTAATTATATCCGTCCTCTAATAACTTGGCCCATGAAAAATGGGTTGCTAAAAATCAAGTGATGGTAATTATTTCAAGAGATTCAATTCTGAATTTGATCAGTTTTTCAAATACTATCATCTATCATTAAAAAGGCAACTCTAACTAATGGGTCCAAGTGATTGATATTATTGGCAAACTCGGACGAGTGCTTTACTTATTGGATTACCAAGAAACGGAAATTTGGGGGGTGTGATGTGTGGGAAGCCAATATATGTATATATATATATATATGCATAAAGAAGGAAGAAGTGTTTTGCAACAAGTTGGCTTCAATGGGCCGTAGTCTGTATTGCAAAAACCGAATATGTCGTAAGCAGCCTGATTAAAACTGAGCCCGTAGGCACTATGGGCCATGATGGGCTGCAGCGTTACAATTTTGGTGATCTAGTGAAAGAGACAAGAGGTTTATTGAGTTCTTTCAAAAAGAAAATTGGTCTGACCCCCACTCTATGTTCTTCATAAGTAAAGAGTGAACTGCTCTCCAGAAAACAATCAATTACATTAATCATGAATTATTAATATTGAAATACTACTTTTAATTCATAGGTGGCTATCCTTATTGTATATAATATAGCTAAAAATCTGTTTTTAGATAATTATTCCTTTTATCATATATATATATATATATATATATAAACAAAAGCGCTACTTTAGGTTGTGACAAAGCATAAACTAACAGTAACAATTATTTTTTTATTTTTTTATTTTTTTATTTTTAAAGTCAAGACACTAGCTACTAACTAATATATGCATGCATCCTCAAAGTCATCATTTTTGTCTCAGTAGTTTGTGCTGCCGTACGATCGATCTTGCATAGATTTCTTTCTTTCTAGCTACGTACGTACCTGCTGGAAACAAATTAAATTAGTCAAGTACCATAAATGAAACATGCATTAATTAATTTAGCTTTAATTAAAATACTTTGACAATATATATATATTGTTTAATCTTCTTTGATAAAATTAATTAAAAATAGCGCGCAAAGCTCAATTTCCAAGTTGCTTATATAAAAACCATGTAGTAATATTTATAATTATCCATACCAAATGTTAATGTTGTCCCCTTTTATATATATATATATATATATTGTGGGAGAAAAAATAAATAATGACTCCAAAAATACTTGATATAATTAATAATTAATGATGAAGTAATCTGCCCACCTAGGACTCTTGAATTCAAAAAAATCGTCACATCGGCGGAATTTGGAATTCTATAGCAAAGAATTAGTGTGAAATTAAGAGCAAGACTGAAATTGTAAGTAATGCCGCACAAAAAACAAAGAAAAAATAGTTTGAAGTGAAGTTTTGAACAGTTAATCAACTCTGTCAAACCAGTTAAGTTAACCTTGGACATTGAAGCAGGGATATTGGAGTAATTAGCAGCAACAAGATTCCACATCGATCGATAGAACAGCCATCGATCACGTGGGTCTTGCCTGGATTTGTCGTTTGCTTAGCCTCTAATACAAGCCTTAATATATAATACATATACATGAGGCATAATATTAATAAAGAACTTCACATGTGAAAGGTCACAAAAAAATGCATGGTCCACCTCCCTGCAGGAGAGTAGTATTAGCACAACAGCCTTGAACACTTGGAAGAGAGGGCCAGCTAGTGAGAAACCAGAAACGTGCAACACTATTCCAGATTCGAGGCAATTGGTGCCTTTCACATGCATGGGTTGAATTGTTTAACAAAAATAGACTTGGCTCCTAGGATAAGGTTTTTTTTAAAAAAATTAATAATGAATTCATTTCTTAATTAATTTAATGAATTGGACTTTGATTAAGATATTGATTAAAGTATGATGATTGATTTAAGTCGCTAGCTAGAGTTAAACTAAGCTGTCACTTTCCTGATCATCGATCTTCAACAACTTCGTTCTCAAGGGAAGAGCCTGCCTTTCTTGATTTTAAGACCCCAACTAACCATGCATGTCAATGAAGCTCATGGACTATTTTTAATGGAAGCTGGACTTGCTTGGCTAATTCTACAACTTGAATTACAGTTGACGATCATATTTCATGTGCAAAAAAATGAAGCTAGCGCTACCAGGCCTCATGATCAGTTGTTTCCGTGCATCCATTGTGTAGAAGATATCAGAACAATATTATGACCAACAAATAATATTTAAAATAAATCAATCATCTCAATACTTTATACTCCATGCTTAATTAATTCGAATGACGGGATCGTGTGTTTAATTTCTAACAGCCCGAAAAAAACTCATATTATTTGATAAAATTTTGTATTTGCCTCCTAGCTAGCTATACGTAAGTGTCCTTAATTTTGAAAAACATTTTTTTCCTTCATGGATAGTGTCTTATCAAGAATAATTGAGTAGCTAGCTACCTTTTAGTTGGTAATTTGTTTGTTTCTCTCGTTCTTTGAACATTTTAGCGTAAGCAACTTATATATATATATAATGTGTGTCATGAAACACAAATTTCAATTAAAAAGGAGGCGACCCGGTGGGTGTTCCGTTGACCCAACCAGCTTGAACATGGACGTTAGTAGGTACGATTATATAGTTTTTGTTTTTATATAATTTGTTTGTTTTCCAAGAAAAATAGAGCCGGCAGATCGAGCAAAAGAGACAAAAGAAGTGACATATATGTCGTTAAACGCGCAATTATTTTCAAATGGGGGCCCTTTAATTCCTGGATTAGTTCATTTTATAAGCGCACAAACATTACACACATTGGCTTAGGCAACTTAATTCCCATAGCTAGGTTAAAGATGGAAACAAAATATTCACTTTTGCTTGACAACTCTCTGTTAATAACCTCAAGAGACAAGTGAATTCTTAAGGAGATTAGGGGTTAAAATTTAAAACAAAAGAGTCTAAACATGCATATTGTTGAAAGCCTAATTTCTATATATATATATATATATATATATATATATATATATATATATATATATATATATATATTATTATTCCATCTTATGTTCCCCTCATGTCCTTCTAATGTGTTATGCTGTCCATATGTATATATGACTGTCGGTCAGCACCTCATTATCCATGCCCTAATTTTTAGTATTAAAGTCATCAATGTGTAGATTGTATTGACTATGTGTCTCTTCTCATCTCATCTCTAATTATATGATTGTTATGAAAATGACGAGTAAGGGAAACGGAGAAGTTGAGCAAAGCTGAAAATTGCTAATGACAAAAGGCAAGATGGGAAAGATTAATGTATGCCGTATTATATGTTTGGCTTCTATGATAAATTCCATCTAATCAAGATTGATCACCTTTAAAAGTATATTTTTTAAACATTGCGGAATACATGGCAGTATTTATTGAGGCTTTGGATCATCTACTCGTGGTTTTTTTTTTTTTTTGTCAACATATGTGTCAAGGTATAATGAACCTTTGCAATGAGACAGAAATTGTCTATTTATATATACGACAAAGAAAAATTAAGCACTTCAACTAAAGGAAACAACTTTGATGGTTAATTTTGTCCTGGGCACGTTTTAAAATCAAAATTTATCAATAAGTATGATTTAAATTATTGTAATAAAAAAATTCTGCTAAAGATATTCCATCTCATATATTAAGTGAAAAAATTTGGAATCTTTTAAATGATCACATACCCAACTAAAAAAAAAAAGCAGAGTTGTTATATGAGTGATAATTAATACACTTTTTTTTTTTTTACAATATTATGAGCAGTTCGATCATAATCACGAGAAATAAAAGCAGAAGTAACTAATAAGAGATGGATATTCTTCTAGTAACCTTCTGAATGACGGAATGAGCCTCGCTTATGTTGAATAGGCGAAAATTGACAGCGTCAATTAGTAATTGGGTGTCAACTTCAATAAGCACCGGTTGTTGAAGTTAATTCGCCAAGTGGACAGCCTATTTGAGACAAAGCTTCCATTGGGTGAACATCCAGAGCAAAAAGATAATAAACACTTTTTACGTAACGAACAACTCCAAGATGGTCTCTACCTACAATACCTACTGATCCTGACGCAGTGTTGGTAGAGAAAGCAACATCAAAGTTAATTTTGACAGAGCCAGAAATCGGAGGAACCCTACTAGAGAGGGAAGATGCAGCTGTCGGCAATAATTCAGCCGTGATCGGTGAAAAAATGACTACAGTTGTCGATGTTTGACGTTCGCAGCACTTCCAAAATTTATTTAAGTTTTATTTGTTGAAAATTTTATTCACTTGAGGATACGAGCCATTATTAATTTTGAGATCGTCATCTAGTATTAAAGATAACTAGAAACTTAAAATGGATACTGATTTAGAGATTCTCGGATAAGAAATTGATTATACTTTTTGAAAGATATCAATCACCTAAAGGTATTTTTTTCTATGAAAGATATCATGTCTAGTTTAGTTCTAAAATTTATCTTTTAAAAAAATCTTTAATCCTAAATCAAAATTCTAAGTTCTATTTTATAATCCAAATTGATTTTTTTTTTTGTGATATTATATTGAACCAATCATCGGATGCCTCCATTAGGCATTTTTGTCGATACAACATCGGATTTAGTTTAACTCTCGACATAACTAGTATATCAAAAATTTATCTAATTACTAAGGTGTGATCGATTTACTCTAACATCGGTCTCTATTGGATAGAAAACTTTGTTAATTTTTCTCCAAGTATTTTGTATATTTTTGCTTTCTTTTTTTATGTATTTATTTTTAACTAGCATTTCCTCTCTCTCTCTCTCTCTCTCTCTCTTCTTTTATCATTTTATTTTTATCTTTTTTTTATGGGGAATCATCATCAATCTCTAAGAATTAAGAGACTCAACGATTTGTCCACCTACTAATTATCTAACCTAATTATCGAAATAAAACATAAAATTAAATATTGAATAAAAAAATAAATATAAAAACTCAAAAATTTAAAACATTAAATTTAAACTAGGCATAAAATAAAAGTCATGTATTTAAGAAAAAATCATGACTTATTTATTTAGGAAAAAAAATAAAAACAAGGTTATTGGTCCTTTTGGGCCTAGTGGGCCGACTTATTTTCTTCTTAACCTAAAAAACTCACTGGTGGTTTCTTTTGGAGTTTTTTCCATGCCTTGCAAATCGGATCGGTTTAGGGCTACCTTCATATTGAACTTGTACTACTTGATAAAAGTATCGGCCATATCTTTCCACTTCTTGATCTTATCCCCTGCTAACCTCATTACTACCTTAAACCGGATCCTACTAGGCTTTCATGGAAGAAGTTCATCAACAACTTCTCATCATATACTACTTTAGCTATCTTTTTACAATCAACTTTAAGAGTCATTATTAATAAAAACAAAAAATACAATATTACAATAAGTCAAATCATCCAAATAAGGTTAGATCTTGGGCATCAACACTAACCCCTTCATACCGGACTCTCTCATGCATTCTTAATCAATACATTAATGATCGTATCCTACAAAAAGTACTTCTACATGAAAAAAAAGAAGAAAATATTAGTACTTTTCATGTTAAATTAACACTTTAAATGAAATATAAGAAAATAATTAATATATTACCCTAAACGCATTGAGTAGAAGTTTTTCACCTATATGGAGATAGACTTTCATGTAGAGCCAATGATGTCCAATCATTTTTTTAAAATTACAATGATTTTTGTTAAGCAATTGCTTGATGGAACCAAACTATTGAGCAAAACAAATAAATAATAAATAAATGAATTAAAAATTTTAATATAATGTATGAAAATATAAAACTAATTATCAAATGTAAAACATATTACTTATCGATTATTCGTGACCCAAACGGTCCATCCATTATCGGATCCAATAGAACTTCTTGAAGTTGAGGAAACCATAGTGGGATCATCCATAACAATGGGCATTATTGATGGAGACACTACTAGAGGGGTTGCGGATGTGCACGCACCACTATTAAGTGTACAACCCCAATCGGTTGGACTAGCGAGTGCCATATACATATACACCACCACTATCGGTTACATAGTCAACATCGGAGACATTACCACCGACACCACAACCGGATATATCCAATCCACTAGGCATAACTCAAGAATAACACCTAAAATAGTTTAACAAATAAATAACAATTTGATAGAAAATATATTATCAATTATTATCAATTAAAACAAACAAAATTAAACATGTTTAAAAAGCACAACAAACTTATAAAAAAAAAGCAACACATAATAGATAAATCGATAAAATTTAATGAATACAATAAATGAAATTAATTTTTAACTACGAATATCATAATAATCTTCTAAATTTTCCTCTCCTTTAGTCGATTATAATGCATATTAACTCTCATCTTCTTCATTAGTTTCAATTATTTTTATATCTATAAATGATCTATTTGGATCATTCAAAGACTACTCTTCACCACATCTTAGACCAAATTATATTAGATTTTGAAAGTGTCCTCTTAAAATGAATTTGTATTCCGTTGGACTCTATCGGATGATTTTAGCAAATCAACCACAAACCCAGCTTTTATCTTACAAACACCTCACCAATCTCGATGGTTATACTTTAAACTAGGATACACGACATAATATACTTGAGTTGCTTGTCTTCGCTAAAACAAAAGGTTTGTGTCCGTTTAAATTCCTTTTATAGTTTATCTCTCGTTAGTCTATATTACGGATGAACCCTTGTTTCATTCGATGTAGGATCAAATCAATCATATTTGAACATAACTATTCTCTTGATTGATAGTGTTAGATACTCTAATTGTAGAATTTTGATCAATATCCCGTAATAGTCACTCTCATTTACGCTATAATTAGATCTTTTAATGCACACATCACTCGTTTATACTTACTCTATTTGCACCATGCTCTAATGTGTGAAATATATATCCATTCATAATGTATGATATATACCACTTTACAAGTACACAAAGGCCTTTTCTAAGATTTTTTTATAAGCTAGTCCGTTATACAAGTTGGTTGTGCATATTTTATCTAAAAATTTGAGATCCATGATAAAAATTTTATTTAAGAATCAAAGAAAACCATTTAGTAAACCGTAACTAAAATAAGGATACTCACATATTCACTAAACTATTTAGTAAACTTAGTTTCAAGTCGATCATTAACTTCATGCTTGAGCATATAAGGATTATTTCATTGTAGTTAGGCAATGTATTCATTGTGAAAAAATCACATGCTAGTAAGTTTGTATATTATGTAGCTAATTAAAGATTAATAATATTGATATTAAATGTTAAACACTTACTCAATCTAAGGTTTAACTTCTTAATAATTCAATAATATAAATTGATGGGCTACTTTGCACTCTTCTTTTATCAAACTCGGTGTTGTGACTCGACCAATTGGTCAACCATGCTATTTAAATATAGAAAGCATCCCTTTAATGTCGCCACTCGATTCTTTATCATACTCAATGTGACGTGCACTTTTCGATGCCTAGTATTCATATAAGGCTCGAAGTAGTACGAACAAAACGAAGAGATTTCTTTAATTAAATATGCATTGCATATTGACCCTTCTACTTTCGTTTTATTCCCTACAATGCTTTTATGCTTTCAAAGATACCTAAAACATTAAATTGATTAATAATTAATAATTAAAAATTAAAAAATCATTTTTTTAACACTATAAATCAATATCATTATCATTCAAACAAATAGATTCATCGATATTGCATTGGTCCCAAAATCCTTGCCTCATATAGTAGGTGGACCGAAAGGTGTTCTATAGAGTTAAAAAACTAAAAGGGAATATAAGCTTCGGTTTGCACGAATTAGAGGTATCTCTTTCTCAAGATGCATTGTATCATCTACCCTTATCATAGTTGAAGTCAAGTCTCTAAAAAACAAACCCAACTCGGTAAGTGCTTACCAAACATTTTCTAGTAAAAGCTCATTAAATTCAACAAGTATGAACCTTTATATAAACACATGGTAGTCATGACTTTTCATCCTATACAATATGAGTTTGTTCATATCCATACATCTAGCCACATTAGAAACATATCCGTTTTGAAACTTAAGTTGTTTGATCCATTCAAGCAATAGCCTTTTTATTCTTTATCAAGTGTAAAACTTGTTTTAAGGTATTTTCCTAAAGTTTCATCCCTTGCTAATTCCGACCTCCAACAAAAAATTTTCAATTCTTCTTTAGAATTTGCATTATCTTTGGTTTTACCTAACACATTCATTACTATGTTAAATATAATGTTAAATAGATAATCGAACATATTTTTTTTAATATGCATAACATCTAGATTATGTCGAATGAAATTAGTACTCCAAGTATGGCAAATCCTATAATATACTCTATTTTTTTAACCAAACATTTAAGATATTTTATTGTTATATTAATATGCACCCTCTACTCGTCACCTTCATCAACCCAATCTGTTATCGGTTGAAAAATCTTCACTCCGAACAAAATGAAGGAGATTTATCTATCATAGCTTTACTTTTGGTAAATGACTTCTTTTTCTCCTAAATGGATAATCTTCGGATAGGAACTTCGATGATTTTCATACTATGAGGTATTTCTTTCATTGGGAAGGCAAAAGCATCGAATTCTCCATACAATAAGTATATGCAAATATCTCCATAGTACTCCAACCGGACAATATCAAAATATATGGAGAAGTCACTAATTGTCCATATCATAACAACACGTAATTGAAAATTATGTTTTCAATAAACATCGGAGGTCATCATACCCACTTCTAATAATTGAAGCAACTCGCCATCAAAGGTCGTAAGAACACATTCAAATTATATTTTGTGTTCAATGTTTTTGGAAAAATAACTATTAAAAATATATATATTCTTATTTCATACACATCCATGATAGCAAATTGTGAGGCATCACAATTATCGACCAAGAAAAATATTGAGCACCGGATGGACGAAAAGGTTGAAACTCATCGGTGTGTTACTACTTTTTATTTAACACAATTAGAAAAGCAATAAATCCAATCTAATCGTGCAATAAAGGATAAGAAAGTATCGCTCCCATGAGGAATTAAATTGCACTACTAAAATTACCTAACTTAAAATAAGTTGAATTAATCAAAACAATCAAAAGAATAAAAATTAAATTAAAACTCAATTATAAATTTATAAAATTGAAAATTACTAAAAAGATGATATGAAAGCAATTAGGGA